GGGGGGGGGGGGGGGGGGGGGGGGGGGGGAAGAGGGGGATTCAAACCAAAAAATCCCTCTGTGGGAGGGGTATGGATTTTTGCTGAAACAACACAAAATATAGATCAGTACAAGGTTGCAACAAATTAATTAAAGAGAGAGCTATATCACTGCTACAGGTTGGTGGCTCACTTAGAGGAAATTCTACTCTATTAAGGTGGCTCAAAACATTTACCAGCACTTTCCAAGACTTGGTGTTTAGACAAGTGTATGTTTCTAAAATACACCCTTTATTATAGGTTTAAAGGCTTATAATTCAAAAGTGGCATGGTGAAATTTTTATACATGGGGTTCAGAGCCACCTTAAAGTTTTGAAAACTCAAGGTGACTGTGAACCCTATGTACAGACTTTTTTTAAACTTTGCTGAAAGTTGCATCTCATCCTGCTAATCAAAATTTGATAATATAAAAAATTTCACTGTACTGTTTTTGAATTAAAACCCCTAATTAAAAACTATAATTAAGGGTGTTTTTAGCAGGTCATACTGTTGCTATGGTAACCTATTGTGTCACGAGAATGATAACAATGTGTTCACCAATGATTGAGCAGTGTTTTGACACCATGATTATAGCATCAATTGATAAAAAGTGGTTATGATGACCCATCAAAATCTAACTCTTGGAAAGAGCAATGGAGACTGTTTTGAGCCACCATAAGTTAGAGTAATGACAAAAAAAGCATATCAAGGCAACCGAAGCTGGCTACTTTTGACAACCCCGAGTTAGTGCTTTGAATTTTCCTCATTTAATGGAAGAACTTTCTTAAATGTACATACAGAAATAAAGGCCAAAGTAATGAGATATATGGCCATCTGCCAGGCTCCAGTTAAAATTCGGATATTTATTACAAACACAGTGCCAAAGCCTTACATGATATCCTTTCCCAAAATCTAACTCCACTTGAAGTGGAACTTTTACAAATCCATCCTCAGTCCATGATCCCGTCATTTTAACAGAAATTTCTAAGTTGCTGAAAAACAACAGAAAAGGTAACAGCCTATGACAGACCTGTACACTAATGTTAGGTATTGCTGCTAGATTGGTACACATACTTCTGAAATGCATGATACAGAAGCAACCAATAAAACTTGTTTACATGCATCTATATAAAATTTCAGACAAAAAAAAAAGACTTGAATAATTATGCAGCAGAGAAATTATCAAGCTGACTGGACTGGCAAATTGCTAAGCTAATCTTGGCAGGTCTGATTGGAAAAAAGTGCACCTTTCATGAATAGAATACGTAAAAGACCCACAACATAAATATCGGTATACATACATAACTTGTGCAATAATTAAGTTACGAGTGCTACATAATTGAATTTCTGTAGCCACTCAGAGAAATAGAAATTAATTAGCACTTCAAAAAAAAAGTTTAACTTACTCCATATTACGAGGTCTCCAGTCATTAAGCATGACAATAAATTTGAAATAGAAACAGAAACAAACCACTCATTAGTAGATGATAAAATTTCATTATTTTAACTTTTCCTTTCATCAAAAATCATTGCATATCAAGGCCTGAAGTCCAGCTTTCTATATTGATTCTGTATTCATAAGTAATTTTAAAAAGAGAGTCTAGATTTGACCTATACCTATTAAAGTTCATTTTCCTGTTTATAATACAAAAATTTGAACTGAAAGTAGCAAATGGGCCTGAAGTATGAAAAGGTTGAAATACAGATGAAACCTGTTAATCAGGCCACAGTTAGGCTGCCAAAACCTACTTGCATTATAGGGTTGTTAGTATATCATAAAGAAAGTGATACACTGAGTTTTACTTTGGACCAAGAAGGGGGAACTTGCATCTCTAACCACCGACCTGCTATTCAGAAATCACAACTTGCAACTTGAAACTCACATCTTGCAACTTGAAACTCACAACTCCAACTTGCAACTGCATAATTTGCAAATACTTGGTCCCATCATAATGGGTTTTGATTATCTCACCAACATCTTACATTTTGCCTTTGATCACAGTACATTCATTGACAACTTAAGGTTGACTGGATAGAGGTTTTTGCTGCTTGCTAGAAAAATTGTTACAGTGAGAACTGGTATGCTCACTGTAGTCATGACTAGATTCTAATCAATAATACATTAAATAATTGTACTTTCACTTGCCTAAGTCACTTAACCCTGCACTTCAATGGCTAATAGTCAATATTTAAGAAATAGAAAACATGTACCGTGTTTCTGTTGAGTTATAGAAACACGAGTGGAAGTTTGGGAGAACGAGAAATGCTGTGCAGCCTTTTCGAGTTCTCCCAAACTATCACAAGTGTTTCTATTAAACAATTAGATTATGACCACGAGATTGCTATCGCATGATAGTTGACGAGGTGCAGCCCGAGTGAATTGTCATGCATAAGAATCCTGAGCAAATAATCTAATTCTTTTAGTATAAATCTACTAGTTGTTCAAAACTTTCATCTAAATCCTCTTCACAGACACTTCGAAAACACAAAGAAGCAGCCCCCAGTGCACACTGCTACGCTACTCACTATCTATCACAGAATAGAACATGAGTACCATAGCCAATCAGAGGATGGCATTCATGATAGAACGCTAGTAGATTTATACTAAAACTTGATCGAAACACCAAGAACATGTTTTCTATTTCTTTTAGAGAACACCACAATGAAAAAAGGGAAAACAGCTCGTTAACTTTGGTTATCAAAATGTAAATTCTCTTTGGTCGTACCATCATAATGTCAACAGCTCGTGCTAGTTCTGTGTTTCTACTGAGTTATAGAAACACGATTTTTAACCAATTAGCACGTGTATTTTCTTAGAACTTTTTTTTCCAATGTATATTTTAAACCTACCAATAAAACAGTTGCACTTACAGTGCTAACAGCATTTTTTAAAAAAACTCTTAACTCTTAACACTTAATATGTTATTCTATCGGTAATTATTTTAAAAATACTCCATATTTGAATTAAATGTTTCATGAAATTATGAGGCAGCTTACCGGTTGGGGTCGATGTATCGCCAGTTGTAAAGGGCATAACTGCAGTGTGTTATTACTGGAGGGATATCTAGGGTTGGAAAAATGCTAGTTAACTGAGCTGCCAAACCAAGGAATGTAAAAAAGGTAAAGTGTGCATACAAGCCAAGTAGCCGATCAAGCCAGTGCTTATTGCCGGTTTTAGTTGCACAGAGCAACTAGGAGTATTTCTACTCCCCCCTGGATAGGATGCAAGTCTGTTGCCATGCTACCCTTGCATTAAATCTGCCGGTACCCATTTATGCACCACAGTGCATGGCCATGGAGAGATGTACTGTGAGAGTAATTATGCATCTTGCCAAAGAACACAACCCAATGTCCCTAGCTAGGGCTTGAGCCTCAACCGTTCAATCTGGAGGCGAGCACACTAACCATATATCATCGTTGCATATTTGTGAATCTTTCTATATGTTTTAATTTTTAACACATCATCTTTTTATTCTGTAACTATTTATATGAGGGCCACTGGTTTTTCAGTGACTACTGTTGTGTGCTACCCTCAGTAAATAAAGTTGATTACTATTATTACCATAACCGGGCTGAGGCCATTGCGCCTCCACAATATGTATCTAATGCAAGAATTTTTTGTCATTAAATTGAAAAAGTTTCATAAAATTTGAGTAAGCATAGTTATATCACACATCAATTGTGGATATAAATAAACTGTATATCACGTAGGGGCAAGTTCAAAGAAGTGCAAATATTACAGTAAAGTACAACAGTAGTGCACTACATACTTACAGAAATTTAAGTTAAGGAGTATAACAAATTTTGAACCAAGATAGAATAAAATCTAAGGGGAGTGACTTAATGTTTCTGTATTAGCGAGACTGAATTGATGCCAGGTAACATAACATCTGGCAATGAGATCGAGTACAAGCATAGAGCTCTATGTAAAATCTACTAACGCAAAATCAAGTGTTGCAACATGGGCACCAGTTGAAAAATTCAGTATTGAGAGCAAGATACTTGACATTGTTTGTAAGAAAAGGTTTTGGCTAGTGTTTTTAAGTTTCCTAGCCATAGGAGACTTGAGCATTATTTATTCTCGCTCCTTCTTTTTCCAGCATCTTGTTAATATGAAGGGTGTCTGTTTTACAGGATGCAGAGGTCTCCTGGCTGAGTTAAATACGAGGAACTGCCAGTCATGGGGTAAGGAGCACTCCATCTGGGAACTACCTGGGAGGAGTAGGAATTCCTGGCCCTCGTTGTTCAAAATGGATTAGCTCTCCACTGGATACATGTAAATTGCTACTGTGTGGCACAAAAGTTTTGTAGGTTCTAATTTTCTGTGAGCTTTGGGATTTTTGGAGAAAGTTCCTGAAAAAAAGTTCGCTGAAAAATTTTCTCTGCAAAAATGTAATCCACTGCTGAAATTATACACACAAAAATCTCAAGTAGAATCTTAGCTTGTTGGTGCCATTTATTTCAAATGTCTCTATTGGTCAAAAACAAAACAAAACGTTTAGAAATAAAACGATGAAATTCCACTCAGTATACTACAGATGCGATAATGCATCAAGTGGTACCGTAGTCATTGCTGATCCACTGCAAGAGCAATCAGTTACTCTAGGGCAAGTTTTAAATGTAAGAGATTCAAAGATTCCTGATGTTCTTTCACTTGTCGATTGCATGTAGTTCAATAACATAATGAAAATGTCTTCCTGGAAATTGCAGAAATTATTAACCACCAAGAGGAACCAGTCCTTTAGAACTTCAAAAATTAGTTCCCGAAAAATACAAAAATTCGCTGATCCACCAAATTAAACCTTGCAAAAAAAAAATTGTGCCACACACTTTTCAGTCAATAGCATGGTTTTCTATAGCAGCATTTAATACCCAATGGACAAAAAATGTATCTGATGAATAGCATTATCCAACCTTTGAACAACTGTGGCCAGGGATGTTACAGGAATCCAACCTCCATTAATCAACAAAAAATGTGAAATTGCTAGTTCTGAGGTAATTTTTACTTACCTAAGTGGTTCGACACTGCCACCCAGGGAACTGCTAAACACTTTGGAAGAATCTACAAGTTGAGAACATAACCAGTAAATTCATATATTTTACTTTATCATCAACTCATTTTGGATTTGTTTTAAATTGTTTTGTTTTTGACTTGAAATTTTCAGACTGATATGTCTGGTTTACAAAATTTAATATACCGTTGGATTCCACTAATTTGAACTCAGCTATTTGGAATTCCCCATTATTTCAGACTCAAAATCATTCCCCTTGGATTTACCCTTCAGTAATTTACTATCAGCTATTTTAAACTCCTGCTATTTTGAACTATTTTTCATTTCAACAGAGAGTTTGAATTAGCAAGGTCCAACTGTAGTGACCTTCACTATAAATACAGTCAAACCTGTATATAATGGCGCTGTATACTAGCGGTCACCCTGTGTATAATGGTCACTGAACAACTTCCCAAAAATCGTCCCCTTAAGACTTCCTTAATCCACAATTTCATTATCTTTTACCTGTATATAATGGTCACGAAATTGGGTTACAGTTAACAACTAATGACAAGCTTTATTCATCAGCTCGTTAAGTAGCAGTTACAAAGGCAGGGGTCTCACAAAAATACAAATATTAGTACTAAGTACAACTACTAATACATGTCATCGCCTATGTCTGACACATGCTTGCGGCAGATAGCATTAAAGGGCCATTGCTAAGAATCGAAAAATTGTAATAATTTAACCACTTAATGATTAACTCATTGCCCCAGTGATTTTGACGAATTTACTGCTTTGTTGTATCATGGGTGCATCTTGACACTCACAGTCACTCACAGTCAATAAAACATAAATTAAGTGATTATTTGCACATAAAAATGCTCTTTATTGACTTCCAGGGGAGTTTAAAGGAAACCTGTGTACAGCGGTCACCCTCTATATAACGGACACCTGGCCATTTCCCAAGGTTGACCGCTATATACACGTTTGACTATAACTTATGCAATATAATTTACATGTTCTGCATAAGCAATACAGATGTATTTCCTGAGCTGCCTCCACTTGCTATTCAACTTTCACCATTGACAAATGTGAAGATAAGAAATCTTGAGGTTACAGCCACAGCTACTGACAGCTCTTACTCATTGTAACAGACAACGATGAGTATTGAGTGGAAATTACAGTCGACTCGCAATAACTGGAACCTTCAAGGGAAATTGAAAAAGGTTTGAGTTATCAGGAGTCGAGAACAAATGACCGGAAATAAGGAAAATGTTTAATGTTTTTCGATTCATGCAGTGTAAATTTTAATCAAATTTAATTACAGAATAGAAGAGTTGAGTGAAAATAAAACTGTACAATACACCTCTAAATTACTGTATAAATCGGAACTTAATGTAATGTGAAAAATATAACTAAAGAAAGCAGCAGGGAGAAGTCCAGGAACTGTGAACTGCATAGGTTTTGTAAAGAGAACAATGTTGGGCTACTGGTACAAAGTTCAAGCAATTTACACTGTTTGTTTTGACTTGTCAAATATTGACAGACATGGTTCGAGTTATCGAGGGTAAAATTATATAGAAAATGACCTGAAGGGACACAAAAATTGCTTCGAGTTAGCAGGAGGTTCCAGTTACCGAGGATAAAATTACAGTAAATGTACGACCAAAATCCAGGGGAAATCGATTCTGGTTCGAGTTAGCTTGAGGTTTGACTTAAAGAGCGTTCGAGTTATCAGGAGTCGACTGTATGTTAGGTTTTGGATGTTGCAGTGGCCTAATGGTGAGTGTATTGGACTGGGGTCACTCTGTTGTGTTCTTGGGCAAGACACCTAATCACTCTCATAATGCCTCTCTC